TTTTCATTTTTTAACGATATTATATAATCATCTATCTAACTTTTTCCATAAATTCTAGTAAAAATTTTCTTTTCACCTAGTAATGGAGCACGATGAGAAGAAGAAGAAGAAGGGACTCGCACGCAAGAAGAATCGCGTCGGCAGCGGTGAAACGAGGCTGGGCTCGGCTAAAAGGGACGCACGAAGAATCGCGCTGGCGGTGGTGAGGCGGGGCTGGGCTCGACAAAAAAGAACTCGCGCAAGAGGTACAGATGCAGATCGTCGCAATCGTGGACCTCCTGAACCAAGAACGCCGAAATGGGAACTATGTTGAGATGGATCTCTCCAGTGGCTCATTGCCGTTGGTTGGGAACACAGAAAGGGTTGAGATGGGGGCTAGGGTTTCTCTTTCTTTTCATATTTTTATATATTTTTTTTTAATGTCAGTTTTTCTTTTTATTTATGTTGAGATGGATCTCTCAGGTGGATATTTGTCGCTTCGCATCCTTTTATCTTTTGTTACATGTTATAGCCCTGATGTTGAAATTTAAGAATGAGAATAATTTAAACTTTGCGAGCTTTACATCATGTTGTCCTCATAGGCTAATACTAATACTGTCTTGTACGTACTCTTGGTTAGCAGTTTACATCACTTCAACTCCTTCTGATTAATTTCAATTTTCGAATTAAGAAGACGTTTGTTTTCTATATTTATTTCTGATTTTGAATCATGATTTATAATTTTTTACAGTATTTTCTCTCATAAAAAATACACATAAAAAGAGAATGATTTTAAATTATGATTCTGAATACATAAACCAAACGTTCTCTAAAAGAATAATAATGTTTTAGGAATCCAACTCTTTTGAATTATCATTGTTATTTATACTTATTGCCATTTTCTCTCGTTGGAATTAATTTCTTTATTTGCTTTGAAATTTCATATTAAGAAGCTAGATCCAGCTAGTGAAAAGGTTACCACCTTAGCAGGTACAGGGAAAGCTGGTTTCCAAGATGGAATGGCCCTAGAAGCTCAGGTTGAAAATTATTTTGTGTCTTTATTGGACGGATTCTTTATACAGAAACTGCACGGAAAACCATGAAATATTTAGATGTAAAAAGTGAATAAAACACACACAATCTAGAGATTGAATATTCTAGCCCCCGTTTGTTTTACTGGTTTAGTTTAGTTCAACTCAGTTCGAACAGTGATCACACTTTAAACTCGTATTTGGTAAGCACATATTTTGAATTATATTCCCCGTTTAAATTGAGTTAAACTATCCAATTAGAGTTTAGCTCCCCCCTTAAGTTCAATCGTTCAAACCATTTTTGAACAGTAAAAAGGTGCCCACTCTCTCTCCTTTTTGCACCTACCAAACACAAAGTCGAATTTTATTCCCTATTTAGATTAAAATTTTAACTGCACATCAAAATGCTAATTCGAATTACAATTTAAACCACACAGTTCGAATTTTTCTGTTTAAACAAAAAAGTTCAAATCAACAAAATTTAAACCAACGAACCAAACAGAGGCATAGCTCATTATCTTTATTAGCTGAATGATGGTATTTTTTTTTTTTGAACTGAGAATGTGGTGATGATGATGGTATTATTGCCCTTCTATGGTGAATATATCACCTTTAACGCATTTATGTTTTCTTGTTGCAGCTTTCAGAGCCATGGGGAATCATTGAAGTAGAAAATGGTGAGGCTTTCTTTTGTACACATGTCACCTACATTTTATAACCATGATATCAGGATGCACTTTTGCAAAATTATGTTAGAAGCTTGGCTAAAGTCTGAAAGTTGTTATATAGACCTTAGTAGCTATTTCAATTATGAAGATAGGAACCCTCTAATGTGATATATCTGTTCAGACTGAACTTTGAATTCCACTTTATGTTCTTCATTTCCTTGCAACTATAAATTGTCTATCCTCTATGTTGCTCTGCCTTTGCAAACTACAAAGTTGATTTTCCAAATAAGGAAAGAATGGACCACCAAAGAAAGCTCTTTTGTCGGCCTACATTTTGTAAATTTATTAGTTGGTTTTCATGATACAAAACTACTTCCAAGAAGGAAACAATGTTACTATACGGTTCGATATACAGATATTAACCACAAGTGAATAAATCTAATGAGGAAGACAATGTTATCTACCACACGTTTGAGGTGAAAATTTTCATCTTGTCAAATGCGATACTTTCCTTATAATGCACATGAATTTTTGAAAATGTGTTTAACAGAGTGATTGAGAATATAGGATCACCTGTCTATCTTGTGCCCTTTAGTAAAGAGTAGTGGAAATTAGCTATTTGTTTATTCATTCATTTTTCTATACATTTCTTACAGGAAGACTTTTCATTGCTGATACAATCAACAATTTAATCAGATATCTGGACTTGAACAAGGAAGTACCCGAGCTTTTGACTTTAGAGCTGAAAGGTGTTCAGCCCCCTAAAAAATCCAAATCACCAAAGCGACTTAGGAGAGCAGCACCAATGGATGCACAAACCGTCAAAGTTGACGGCACTTCATCCAGTGAGGGCAACCTGTCTATTAAGATATCACTACCCAAAGAGTATCATTTTTCAAAGGTTCTTTAGTCGTTCACATGCACAAAAAGCTTTGAATCCATTAATCTAGCTATTACTGTTTCTCCAACTATTTTCACATTCATTAACGTAGTAATCCCAACTTATATCACTCCATGTTTTCTTAAGGCAGGAGGCTCGCAGTAAATTTAGCGTTGACACAGCCTGAAAATGTAGTGATTATTGATCCCTTGGATGGATATATTAGTCCAGATGGATATGCAACTCTCCACTTTAGGAGATTTTTGCCCTCTGCTTCAACAGGCAGAATAAATTGCAAGGTAACCTCCTTTTTTTTAATTGTAAATTTCAATTATATATTAGTACAATTCTTTATCTTGTGATGCGGATTTATGATGGATTTAAAACATTTTCAAGACTAATAAACACAAAAAATCTTGATAATAATCCAAAATTATTCAAAACCTTATTTGGTATTTGAGTATTCTTGATAGATGGAAATAGAGGATTACCTCCCCCTCTTAGCTGTGGAAAAACGTCCCCATGTAGCTGGAGAGTGACGGTGGCCGGCTGGATTCCGGTGGGTACCTAAAATCACCAAACAGAGAGCTAGAGGAGTTTTGAGTTCTCCTCTCCTCTCCCTCTCACATTCGGCCACTCACTTTCACACCCCAGACAACACACAAAAAAAACTCAAAAGTGGGTTATTGGACCTTTTTCCAAAAAAATTGTATAAAGAGGGTATTTGATACAATGGTTGATCAAAATTATTATGAGAGAAAACCAAGGGCCTCAAGCATAGAGTGATTATATTTGCATCCACTAAATTCATTTGTCCCCACTAAATCATAAATTATATTTATTACAATTTTATCCTATATGAAAATTACATTAAAACCCACTAATATACCTCCACATTAACTATATATAGAAATAATAATATTCATTTCAAAGAAAAAAAAAAACACCCACATTAACTACAATTGAAAAGTATTCTTCAAAGGAGTAATAAAAATAAAAATAAAAATATTCCCCTACATCTTTAATCAATGTTAATTTCATCTTTATAAACCCTAAATTTTTCTCAATTAAATTGTTTAAAAATCTGAACGGAGGTTTCAGTTCAAAACAACAACAACAAAGAAAAAATTATAATATTTAGTTTCTTAGAGTTACACTAGTTTTGACATCTTTTTAGTTATAGGCGCAGTAGATAGGTTTAACATACCAGAAAAATGATGAGACAAAAAAAAAAAAAAATGTTGCAAACCCAAGCATTGAGGGCCACGCTTAATTCCCTCAATTGAATATTAGTCCATCCCTTGGTTAGTTCAATCTAGATTAAAAAAAAGTGCTTTTCTGATTACCAAAAATCTGATGGAGCATAATATGCGACAAAATAACAAACTGAATTTAAAATATAAAGTCCCAGACATAAATAGTTGAAAGAGATTGCATTGTTTAATAAATCAAATGAAAATTAAAATCAGATTAGGGGTATGAGAGGGTTAAGTTAGGTATTATAAAAATAATATCTATAAAAGGATAAATTTTTTAAATCTTTATTACAAGAGTATTAATTATTGAGGGTATCTATAAATTTTCGGGGTGTAATTGTAATTACTCATTAGTAAAAATTAATTGTCCACCCCATTGTGGCTCACCATATAATACCATGCATTAACAAAATTACAATAATGTTGTCTTAAATAATGCTCTAACTTTGTGTCATAAAGAGTGTTATGATTGTGCTAGTCCATAAGAATATTCCAACAAAAACTACATTTTAAAGTTTTTGAAAGGGTTTGCAGCAGTGAGCCAATGGTTTTTGCTTTGGGAACTACTGTTGAATACTTGATTTGTTTCCGGGAAGCTGTGGATTTTGTTTGTTTGGGTTTTTTTTTTTTTTTTTTCTTTCTTTCTGGGACACTACTTGATTACGACTAACTTTTGTTTTAGCAGAAACAAACAAGAAATACCATCTAATTGGTTGGTCAAACACAATTTCACTTGGAAAAATGTCGAGCAGTTAATTCTTGCCGCCCAATCTATGTGCAAAGATTAGATTCAGTGTTAAGTACAACTTTTTCTCTTTTTTTTTTTTTTTTTTTTTTTTTTTTTTTTTAAAAAAAACCATTACATTTATAAATTTATCAGGTTAAGACTTTTCATATAATAATAAGTTTACATTAATCATTATTATCATCGTTCTTGGCATAATCATGGGATAGATTGCTCGCCAAGGCACTCATGCGCTCTTGTTTCCATTCAACGAAATGATTGCCTTCTCTAGGCAATAATGTCTAATTATAATAATAATTTCTTTTCATTTTTGCAGACAGCGGATTAGCCCCCTACATACCTGCACTAAATAGACACAAATCTTTTTACAAGCTAAGAACCAAATCATGTGAGAGCAATACATTTGTTTAATGAGTATTAGCTCTAAAACCACATTATTGTATTAAAATATGTCAATGTAAAGCGCGTTTGTTCCACCAAATCCCGTATGCAAATTGGCTTTGTGCACTGACTTGTTCCTTATCCTTGGTTCATAGTTTGCCTTGACCTTGAGTACTGGTCATGTTACAGCTTATCGGCCTGAAGTTAGATTAAATGATGAGATATCTAAGAATTGTTTAATTAAAAAAATGAAAAAAAGGAAGGGCACCATGGATGAGTGTTCACGCACATTATATTATACAATACTACCATAGGAGGTCGAAGTTTACTGTTCTTTGAACAGTGCACTTCCTTTTTTGCTCTTTTTTGGTGACTTTTCTGTGTTGTAGACTCCAGCAGTTGGATGTTTTAAAGCCCGTTTAGTTTTTTGATTTAAATTTTTAATTCGAGTTGAGATGTGATTTTATGTGAGTTTTTTACTGTAGTAAAAAAGTTAAATGTAACTATTTTTGAAAGTTTTTTACTTTAACAAAACTCAAATCGGTGAAATGAATGAGGCTTTATTTTTTGTTTTTATTCTCTTTGAGACACGTGGCTCTCTATTCATTTTCATTTATTTTCGTTGTGTTGTTTTCTCTTTTCCGAAACACCTACCTCCCTGTGTTATGGATTCCAACTGGCTATTATTCTCTTTTCCTTTTCTCCTCTTCGAAACACGTTGCCCTTTGGAATTTTCCCTTTCTCTAGGGGTCCTTTGTTTTTTTTTTTCCGCCTCTTTCTTTTCGCAGTTCTGGTTTTGTTTTCCTGCATTTCTGAAAAAAAATTTCCCCTTTCTCCGGTGTGATGTGGAGTTGATCTGCCTTAAACTTTGAAGGTTTTGGTTTTTTCACTCCCGGTTTTCTCTTTTCCTTTCGTTTTTATACTTCCTTTATTGATATTTTTTTCTCTTCTTGCATTTGTAATTTAGGGTTTTCCTTTTTCTTGCATTTCTGGTTTTTTATTTTTCTTTGGGTCTCATGTTTCTTTTCTCAGTTTTGTTTTTCTCCATTTTTGAAATTTTTTTTCCCCTTTGTCTTCTTCTGGTGTGTTTTGGAGCAGATCTGGCTTAATCTTCGAGGTTTTTGGTTTTCTCACTCTTCGTTTTCTCTTTTGCTTTCGTTGTTATGCTTCCTTTTCTGATAATATTTTTTTTTTTGTTCCAACTGTTTTCTCTACGGAATAATTGTCGTTTTGGCATCTGGATTTTTTTTTGTCTTTCGGTCTTCTGTTTGCTTTCTCGGTGTGTTTTTCTGCATTTCTTTGGCTTCTGGGTTTTTTTTCCTTTGGGTCTTATGCTTCTTTGATCGGTTTTGTTTTTCTCGATTTTTTTTTCTTCTTTAGCTCATATTTTTTTTTTCTTTGGTTTTTATGTTTCCTTTGGTTTGATTTGATATTTCGTTCTATGATTAAATTTTGTTTTACAGGGACTCTTGCAATTTATTTGCGTTTTGCTATTGTAAGCCTCTCGGCCATTCTTCATTTTTTTTTTTTTTTGCAAGTTTTTATGACGATGAGGTAAGAAAAAAATTAAAATGTCTCCATTTTTATTTCTTTGATGGGCTAAATTTTTTAACTCATGTTGAGGTAAAAGATCTAGCGTTTTGTTTTTTTTCCCTACTCTGATCTTTGTTCACAATGTTAATCGGTTTGCTTTTGATGTGGTTTTTACTGTGGTATCATGTTTATAATTTCCTTAGACATGTATTTTTTTTTTCTGCTGTAATTCTTTATAATACATATCTTACTTTTTATTGTCTTTTGATTATTGGTTCTGCTTTCATTTAGTTTTCATGCTCCGTGACACATGTTGTTAGTGAATGATTATAGCGATTCATGTTTATTTTTAGCCGTTATCTAATAATTAGTAGAAATTTGTTTAATTTGTATATAAATAGTTTGTTCTACTGTGTTGTTGCAATTTGTCATCCTGTTTTTTTTCGTCCTTCGACTATAACTGTCTACTCTTTTTTACCTTCTCTGTTTTCTTGCTCTACAAATTTTATTGATATTAGACTTCTATTACTATCTTTACTGTTTTGTGGATATTCTGTTCATCTGTCTGCCCTGTTCAGTTTTGGATATTTAGTTATTTTGTTTGGTTCACTTTGTTTTGGAGTTTTAGTTAATCTGCTTTGTCTACTTTGTCCATTATTCTCCTTTGACTGAGGTATTTATTTCTTAATCTGTATATGTTTTTATGTTTAATTGTTTTTATTTTCTTTATAGTATTCTGGTTTTAAATATTTGAATATAATAGTGATGGAAACCTCTTGATTATTGAAGGACCATTTACACACGCAGGTGATTATTCGAGAGAATCACCGTCTCTCCTCTCAATTCTACACAATCCAAAAGTCCCCAAATCCCTAGGCCCCCCTGCTTATTTATAGATTCTACCAACAAACTACAACTCTAACTAAATTCAGTTATTACATGGGCGCCAGACTTCCTCGACAAGACTCTCAAACAACCAAACCTACTTATTCAAGTCCACGTCAGCCTTACTAATTAACTAACGCTTCAATCTCCTACTATATACTAGCAATTCCCGGTTTCTATCATCACTCTCCCCATGCGCAAGAACCTTGTCCTCAAGGTTCAAGTCAGGAAACTGGGCAAACAACAACTCCCACGACTCCCAAGTGCTGTCACACTCCGGAAGATCCTTCCATTGAACTAAAACCTCCAGAGAACCATCCAACAATTTCCGAGTCTGAAGGAAGCAAGGCTGCGGGCTCAACAGCCAACTCCATGTCCTCTGTCAAGGCAACAGGAAACTGCTGCACTGGTGTAGAAGGCTATAACACCTTCCGCAACTGAGACACATGAAAAACATCATGAATACGCGCAAAAGACGGAAGTTGCAGACGATAGGCAACCTCACCAATCCGCTCCATCACCAAGAAGGGACCATAGAAGCGAGGACTTAGCTTTTCATTGTGTCGACGGGCCAACGACCGCAAACGATAAGGTTGGAGCTTCAGGAAAACCCAATCGCCAACCTCAAAGTGAACATCCCGACGCTTCTTGTCCGCATACACCTTCATTCGTTGCGGGGCAGTAGTCAAACGCTCCTTCAACTCCCGAAGGATGTCATTTCGGTCACGTAACTAACGATTAATAGCCTCTACTGCCGAACTACCGTCCTCCCAACGGAATAAAATAGGAGCCTCACGACCATACTGTTGAGTGAAAAATATTTATTAATGTTGAAATAATATTTCAACACACAACATAATTTCACCTATCTTAGGATTTAACTAGAATAGAAGTTTATTATTTTTAGTTCAACCCATCCAAGATTATAAGAATAACCTCTTAATTACAATCCCTTGGTACTATTTTTTGTGAATTTGGGAAATTTTGGTTGATTTAAAATTGCGGTTGAACTCAGTGAATTTTGTCGAGTTGCCTACATACCCCGTTAAGGGATCAAGCCACTTGTAGTCTGAATTTTGGGTTTGAGAATTTGGATAATTTCTTGGTGTATGACCTTATGACGCATTTACGCACTTTAAAGTTTGATTTAGTTTTGTTTTGACTTTGTCCTTTATGAGGATTTTTTTTGGGATTGAATTTGGTCTTGAAACTGCACCTAAATTTTAGGTTGCCTACGTATCCGAGAGGGAATCAAGTCAATCGTAATTCTTGAAATTTGAATTTGGATTTTGAAGTTATATTTGGATAATTCTCCGGTGTATGACCTTATAGGGAATTAAAAGGTGTTTTAAAATTCGATTTGGAATTTTACTTTAGAATTTGGATTTGAAAGTTGTATTTGAATAATTTCCCGGTATATGACCTTATGAGGAATTAAAATGATCCTTTTTAAATTTGGTGTTGAGATTTTTGTATTTGAATCTGAGATTTGAACATTGTATTTAATCATCATATGATTTTATGAGACAATGGGCTCATCTTTTAAACTAAAGGACCATAAAGGGTCCAATTTGTGCACTTTAAATTTTGAGGTATTTAATATTCCGAATTTATTTTAAAATTTATTGTCTTTCTCCCTTTTTTTTTTGAATTTCAAAATTCAAAATCAAATCAAATCTATTATTTAAATTAGATTTATTATTAGGGGTGTTCATAAATCCGAACAACCTGCAAACCCACCCCGCACCGTCCCAACCCAACCCGAAAAAAGCAACCCGCAGCATTATTTTTTAATTTTCGGCCCATTATACCTCTGGCCCGAAGTGTTTTGGGCGGGTTGTAGGTTGGGCCCATAACAACCCACAACCCAACCCACACAACACATGTCTAAACTAACTATCCAAATTATTACTTAAGTTATTTTCTTTTCTCTTGTAGATAACTCAACTTCATGTCCTACTACAACCATTGAGGAGCCTATGGGTGTGGACTGATAAGGGATTGTTGCTGTTGCAATGCTTGTTTTAGATGAATTTGAATTAAGCATCTATGTTTGCTTTATGTTAAGACTAATTTATGAGTGTAGACTAATTTATGTTTGCTTTATATTTGATGTTGGATGGACTGATTTGCTACATGTTTGATGTTAGATAGACTCATAAAAATGGTTACTATTTTTATTTTATTATGAACTTTGAATGTTAGATTGAACTTTAAGTCTTTAATTTTTTAAATGTTGAAACCGACCACCCAACTCATCCCGCACCGCCCCAACCCAACCCGAACATCGTTAGGTTGTGAAAAAATTCTAATATCGTTGGGGCTAAATATGTGTAACTCGCACCCTATGGGGCGGGGGAAAAAAAGCCCTACCCCACACCAACCCAACCCATGAACAGCCCTATTTATTATGATCTGATTTGTTTTGATCTTCTAATTTCAAAAGGGGTCGAAGTGCCTCTGACACTTCACTTAGTTTATATATATAAAAAAAAGGTATTGGGAAAGAGAGGTAACGGTTGCTTATAATTTTTTTTTTTAACATCTTCTTTTTTTGATTGTTTTT